TTTCTGAATCTCTTTTAATCTGAAAGGTGGGGGTAAAAAGATTTGCACCTTATGGGCTTCCCATGAGGATTACGTGTGAAGCACTTAGCACAGCACCTGGCACATAGTAAGCACTCAATAAATGTGAAATGTGATGATGCCACTGATGTGGCCACCACTGTGGTGTTCCTTCTCCAGGCTTTGGAGAAAATGAAGAAAAGCACTGAACCCTGTCTGTGCAACAACCTTAAGCTGACACAATGAACCCCATCCTCCAGAAGCAGCCAGTAAAATCTTCTTATACATAAGAAAAACTTGGGGTAGCATGACTTAACCAAGGAGAATAGCAAAACACTCAATTTTCCAACTTTGTTTCTCTTTTGCTTTCACACTAGGACACACAACACTTCTGACACCAGATGTGTCAGACCAGTTTTCTCCCACTAAGCAATTCTTGGCTATTAGTCGGTGTCTTAAAATTCAACTCAACTCTGACACTATCCATCTGAAGACAGCATCAGATCCCACAGGCTAAGGGCTCAGTCCTACAAGACTGTCCCTGCTTCAAATGCCAATTGCAAGTCCAGGTTGTCACCCATGCTTCTGACCAACTATAGATCAGAAGTTTCAACCATTTCCTTCTTGGTTTCAATTAATTTGCTATAGCATCGCACAGAACTCAGAGAAACATTCTACTTTGCTAGATCGCTGGTTAATTATAAAAGAATGTAAGCCAGGAACAACCAGGTGGAAGAGATGCACATGACAAGGTATGGGAAAAGGGCATGGAGCTTCTATGCCCTCTTGGAGGGCACCGCTCTCCCCACATTGCCACATGTTTACCAACCCAGAAGCTCTCCAAACTCTGTCCTATTGGGGTTTTATGGAGACTTCATTATATAGGTACGATTGATTAAAAATCATTGGATGCAGGTGACTGATTCAGCCTCTAGCCCCTCTCCCCTCCCTGACGGTTGGAGTGGGACTTTAAGTTCCAACCCTCTAACTGTGGCTGGCAGCCAGCCCCCATGCTAACATTACCTACGGGCTTTCCAGAAGCCACTTCATGAACAGCCAAAGACACTTCTTTTGGCTCTCATCACAGGACTTCTAAGGGTTCTAGGAGGTCTGTGCCAGAAAAGGAGACAAAGACCTATATATTTCTTATTATAAATCACAAGATCACACCAGGGTGCAGCAAACCGGCCTGTAGGTAGAATCCAGCCCACACCTGTTTTTGTGCAGTCTGCAAACTAAGAATGGTTTTTACATTTTTAAGTAGTTAAAAAAAACATTTTGTGACACATGAAAATGACAAAATCCAAACTTTAGCATCCCTAGGT